GAGAGAGAGAGAGAGAGAGAGGAAGAGAGATAAAGAGAGAGGAGGAGGGGGAGGAAGAGAAAAGGGGAAAGAGAAAGAGAGACAGAGAGACAGAGTGAGAGAGAGTGAGAGAAAGAGAGAGAGAGAAGAGAGAGAGGGATTGTCACACAGAGAGAAAGACAGGGAAACAGAGATAGAAAGAGCTAGTTATCAAAACAAGCACGGATTAATTGAGATGCGGAAGGAACATGCAAGCGAGAACAAGAAATTAAAAATGAAACATTAAATAAATGGAAACAAAATAATAAGGAAATTTTCGAGGAAAAAAGAAATAACGTAGAAAAAGCCTAAATTAAAAAAAAACATTTTCAAACTTTTTATTTGTTTTTAGATAAAAATAATTATATTTCGGCTTGGGAATTGAATTGCTTAGCTCTCGTGGAAAAGGTTAAGAGCAACTTGTCTTCCCTTTTCTTATTAAAATCTAATTTTCTGAAAGGCTCAGCAAGCTAACATTTCCTTCCCTTCTTCTATTTTTCCTTCTTTTTTATTTTGTTGAAAAGATCAGTGAAATGATCTAATACGATATTTAGTGAAAGTGTTATCGATAACTGGTTGAAAAAAACCTGCCCAGAAAGGACAAGGGTTAACAGCGGTCAAGTCGGAGAGATGAGATTATAAAGATATTATCATTACTTCGACAGTATTCCTTTTATAGAAACGTTATCTTTTTAACGACACCTTGAAGTGATTGAAAGCAGAGCGAATTGAAATACCGATTAGCGTATCTCACCAGCGTAAAAATGACATCCCAGCTAATTTTGTGTTACTAAGGAAAACAAAAGATCTTGCCATCCTTCATGTAAATGTTCCGTTTCCAAGGGCTCTCCAGCTATGAATTCATTAAATTTTAGCGGCCATTTTCCCTCTATTTATACGACCCCTACCTACTTCAACCGCAAATATCTCGACTTTTATTGCAGACTTATGGTTACTTTTTTCAAGACAAATGAACACGTTTTAAGATGATACAAATAACTCCATATGCCCAAATATTGACGAGCGCCTGATTCCAACGCGTCGTGACACATAGGATTATTTAGCAGGCTGGCTTCTACTCTGCCTGTCATAACCAACCCGGACTGAAAGGGACACAATATCTTACTATATTGGAGCTAAGCCCGGTTGTGGGTCAGTATTAAACTTTTTACACAGGTGCCCATAAAATCTACAAAAATAATATTCAGACAAGAATTGCCCCAAAGGATTACGTGGGCTTATTTTCAAAGTTCCGAAACTAACTTTTGATTTCTCAGGTTTAATGGTTTTTCCTGTAAATCGAAGCTCTCGGATGTTTTCACTCTACCTTTAGCCATTTCATATTTTACTAGGGATTACTTCTGTTTCGGTCCCAAGCTTTGTTGTGCGTGCGAGTAGTTCGCAAGAACAGAAGTGCGGTTTCTGCTTTGTCGTGTGTGTGCCACAAAGTTCTACTTTTTGAAGTAGTTAACACGGACACAATTGCAGTTTTGTCGTGTATGTGCGACAGATCTGTACATTTTTGCAGTAGTTAGCAAGAACAGAAGTACAGTTTGTGTTTGGTCGTGTGTGTATGCCACATAGTTCTATTTCAGCTCCTTCTTTTGGCCCATGGAATATTAGTTAATAAAGTTAATAATGTAGTAAGATGCCCCTTAAACGTAGACTTTGTTTAACCCCACGAAACAGAGGTGAAAGCGAGAGAAAACGGTGAAAGGCGACAGTCAAACAGAATTTACATTCTAATAATCAGAATCTGGAGGAAGACCTTGAGCTTGCCAGGCCAAGAAAGAATGGGCCAACATTGGCCATAGCGTGCAACGCACAGTGATCTAGTGAAACTGAAGTTGACCGAATATTACGTACACATGACTGTGGTGCATTCAGTGCCGTCTGTGATCATTGCAATGCCATAAGATGGAGAGAAGAGAGAAATACATGCTGCTGTCAAAATGGAAGGGTTAGTAAACCTGTATCTCCCCCACCTCCTCGGGAATTAATAAAGTATTACGATGTAGCACAAAGCGGCAGCTCTTTCTTACCACACTGTAAGTCATACAATAATGCTCTCGCCCTTGTTTCAATTGGGTGCAGTGAACAAGCTGAAAAGGGCTTCAATTCAACCTTCAAAATCCGGGGCAAGCCGTTCCACCGATTAGGAAATATTCTTCCCACTGCTGGAACTGAACCAAAGTTTGCACCTTTTTTTTTCATGACTCTGCCACAGAACTTCAGGATAGGCTGAGACTGTCACATATTTTACGGACTGACATTATGAATGAACTTCAACCTGAGAGAGAAGGTGAGTCAAGCGTACTCAGAGCTTAATGAAGAAAGAGAGTCGTGTATGATGCTGTGCTAGAGTCAGTTGTACAGAAGCAAAGCAAGATGTTTGCCCTGGAGGCAAGAGGAGGGACTGGGAAAACCCACACTATAAACCTGATTCTTGCGGCTGTCCGTTCCTTTAAGAAGATCGCCCTTGCTACAGCTCTGTCAGGCATTGCAGCAACTCTGCTCTCACATGGCAGAACATTACACAGCAGATGCAAAATACCCGTTAGGGTGAACGAACAGTCAATGTGCAGTGTGAGTCCCCAAGAAGCCAGTGGCACTTTATTACGCCAAACAGAGCGGCTCATCATTGATGAAGTATCGATGGGCCACAAACACATTTTTGAAGCCATAGACCGAACACTTCAAGACATGTGTGAGAATACCTCTCTGTTCGATGGGCTAAATGTGCTGATGCCAGGTGACTGGCGCCAAGTACTACCAGTAGTTCGCCATGGCTCAAGATCACAGATAGTCAATGCAAGGCTGAAATCATCATATCTGTGGGAGCATGTTAATGTGCTCAGACTGACAAGAAGCATGAGGGTTTCGCTTACAGGTGCGACTGCTGATTTCTCCAACTATCTACTGAACATTGGTGATGGCAAACACAATATATGCAAGCAAATCGGGGAGTTTGCGATAAAAGTTCCAGATGACATGACAGTAAAGAGCGAACGAAAGTTGATAGATTTTGTCTTCGGTAACTTGCAGTCTAACACAAATCCTGACTGGCTGGCTTCCCGCTGCATCATCTGTCCCACCAACACAGAAGTAGACAGAATCAACAACCTGATCATGCAGTCCTTCCCAGGAGAAGAAAAAGTCTACAAGAGCTGTGATTCGGTGAAAGAAAATGAACACCAACACCCCATCAAATTTATCAATTCTCTATGTCTGTCAGGTACGCCAACCCACAAACTGACATTGCGGAAAGACAGCATTGTCATGTTGCTGAGAAATCTGGATCCCATAAACGGCCACTGCATCGGGACTCGATTTGTGGTTCAGCACCTTCATCAACATGTAATTGATGCTGTCGTTGCTTGCGGTCCACATGCAGGAAAGAGACTTTTCACAAAAATTCCCCTCATGCCTTCAGACAACATATTTGTCTTCCATATCCGACGGAAACAACATCGGTTAGACCTGCTTTTGCAATGACTGCCAACAAAGTTCAGAGACAGATTTGGAAAAGTATAGGGTTTTCTTTACAGGGCGATTTTTTTCCCATGGACAATTTTGTATGTCGCAAAGAGTCGTGTTGGGTCCAGGGAATTTATTAGGATACACGCAAACAGACCTGCTGCCCAGGAAAGAGTTCCAGATGGCGCATATACCCGCAATGTTGTCTATACAGAGGTCCTACGACAATGAATCAGGCACAGGTACAAATATTTTATCTTTGGCTTTCCTATCACTATATCACAGTTCGTAGAACAGGTCTGTGTCTAGTCATAGTATAAGACCAAGGTACTCAATAAAAACGTTTCTTACTCGGGAACTGAACACGAGTCTTCTGTGTGTGACTGTCAACTGCCTCACGGCGTTATATCATACTAGCAGGTATTATATATATATATATATATATATATATATATATATATATATATATATATATATATATATATATATATATATATATATATATATATATATATGTATGTATATATATTTTATATATATATATATATACATATATATTATATTAATGAAATATATGTTTATATATATATATATATATATGTGTGTGTATATTATATGCATATATATGATTTATATATATTATAATATAATATATATATGCATGTATATTTTATATACATGTATATATATATGTATATATATATATAAATTAATATATATATATATATATATATATATATATATATATATATAGAAGAGAGAGTGAGAGAGAGAGAGAGAGAGAGAGAGAGAGAGAGAGAGAGAGAGAGAGAGAGAGAGAGAGAGAGAGAGTAAGATAGATAGATCAACAGGTTTCTCCCTTAATGCCTGACGTGGGAGTGAGCAAAGCGCTTTACAAAAGCCCAGCAGATCGATGAGAACTTAATGGCGCCTCATTAAAACACAAGCAGCCGTTGACAGGCAGGAGCAGCCAGGGTTTGGCGGGAAAGCGGGTCAGGGGTAAGTGATGTGTCCGTTAAGACCTCCGACATGTGATCGGGGGCCGTCTCTAAGTGGACGTGTTTGCCTGTAAAACGGCGTAAATCCTTTCGTCTACGGACTGAGTGCTGAAAACGGCTCACTTGGGCTCTCTGAGTATGTCATCAATTATTCAGTAGTGTCTCTGAAGTTGTCGCACGCGACCAGTACATCTCCTTACTTTCCGACCTTCCAGGAGTAAACAATATGGAGGGAAATACTAAAATGCACGAGAGCTTTGTTTTGGGTGTGGCAGGGTCAGAGTGAAAGAGATAGATAGATAGATAGTGTGTGAGTGAGAGAGGGAATGAGATAGGTAGATAGATAGATAGATAGATAGATAGATAGATAGATCGATAGAGAGAGAGAGAGATGGATAGATAAATAGATAGATAGATAGATAGATAGATAGACAGATAGAGAGAGAGAGAGAGAGATAGATAGATAGATGCGTTACTCAGGGTGAGAAAGTTATTTTTGCTTGTTACTAGTTTGTCAGTTGGAGCTTTCTATTTTTTGAGGGGGGGGGTTGCTTTCAGTAAGACACGCGAGTCGCTCTTTACAACGGTTGTTATTAAGGCTCTACCTGGCTCGTCCTTGATGGTTTTGCGTGATCTTAGAAGATTGTGATTTTAGATAGGATAAAAAGTTCACAGAAGCAAAGTCAGAGGTGAGTACACGCCTCAAGGGATACAATTAGGAACGACTAACTTTTGAGTGTTGATCTGAGAAGGGTCATCACGCCACTTGTGTCTATTATAAATTTGCTTGTCTGTCAGTTTGCGTATTTGGGTAAAAAGAAGTGCTTCAACATCAGGTGTATGCATTAAGCTGTTTATCCTCGGAATGTAATTTATTAAGTGATTTGTCCAAACACTAGTGAAATCTTTTGCCTTTTAAATACCGTACAGAGAAAGCAAAATAACACCCTCTCTTCCCTACCCCTTGAAATATAAAGACAACAACGAAAAAAAAAAAGAAGAAAAAAATGAAGAATGACAGACCTGGGCTGAGGTTACCGCTCTGAGGTCAGACGAAGCAGACGGTGAAATCATGACGCCTGATAAAGACAGGGCGTAATAAGACGCTCCCCCGCCCCCTATCTTTCTCTGTTACTCCCTCTTCTTCGTCTTGTGTCTCACTTATACGCTCAAGTACACACACAAACTCATCATTCAGACACTCAAACATACATTTAGGTATTTCCCAAAGGGTAAACATTAATTAGCCATGTTCTAATGCACTGTAGAATTCTAATTGTGAATGGGCTGGTTCATCAATGTCATGCTCATTAACTGTGCCTGATCTTCATCAAGGAACTGATTATTTTTCTTTCCTATATCTTACTATCATCATGTTTTCCTCTATTTCTTTTGAATGTTTGTCACACTATTGTGACCTGCTATTTCCGGAGTGCCTTGATAGTCGAAGCAGACTTTGTGCTGTTGAAGCTAGAGAGGTGAGAAAAGTAAATCTGATTCCCTGTAAAGACTTCTCTGTTGACATCCACCCCTTGGCACTCATATGACCTTATGCAGTTGCGAGTGAGGTAAAACATCTATTTTTAAAAAACAAAAAAACACACATTTATACTCATCCTCGGCCCCTCCCCCCTTTCCCAAAGACACTTACATGATGACAGTCACAAACACTCCCATAGACACATTTACACGCACACGCCTACAGTCATACACCAGCCCACACACACACACACACACATACACAC